TATATATATGTAAATAAACATTATTTGTCTTCTGCTGCCATGGGGTAACAAAATATAGAAATGAGCATATTATAATGAATATATTACAATCAACTCGCGGTTGTGATAGCCCTGCTTGAAAGCCGTGGTACCCGGCGTATCTAACATACTGTATACTAAAGCAAATAATAACTGATTAAGTGGTGCGATACCTACAGCTTTTTGACTATTATACCTAACTGATTACACATCAATCTTTAATAAGCACCCATCAAAATATTGCCAGTTTGTTCGATCTTGATCTCCATACTGAATCCATACACACGATTGTCAAGCAGAATGCACTCTTTCTTCAGACCAGATTTTGGCGCAATTTGAACTTTGCGCGGCATTGTCTGCTAACATTATTATAAATTGGTGATGACAACCTGGTTTGTATGTTAGCTCAGTTAGTTATTTGCTACATCACATCTGTATGGGGTTAAATTTCATGCACGCATAAATTATTTCACTATAAAATCATTATACATGTCACCACTCTTGCCACCTCGACTAATAATGCTGTGGTGACCAACACCTTCAAGCTAATTCAATTTATAGGCGTGCGGGTCCTCATGAGAGGGCATGCAACATGTACGCACTGCGTACCTATTTTTAAGCATTTCAAAACGTTTCACGCATGGAACATTGCATGTAAGTTGCATGTATTCTATACTAAATTGAAGAAAATATTACGCATAATAACATACTAAGCATAAATATTTTGGAATTGAAATATTAATTCGTAATTAAAACTAGTATTTTTTCATCAGTTTTTACGATTTTGTTAAGAAATAAAAAAGCTTGTTTTTCCATGACAACTATTCGAAAGATGCAAACCGTAGGATTTCTGCAAACGTGTATTTCAGGTAAAATTTAGATACATTCTTAAAGAACATAAATTATAAATAGAATATTATAACGCAAAATTACATGCTAGGTTGGATTTCCTCTTTTAATACACTCTGTATACTGCCGTGCGGAATGGATTTCTGTTGATGTGAAACCTCTACTTACGTTTAATGGGAGGTTTTTGGCAAATAAAATGATACTGTTGCGAGCACGGTATATCGTTCCATCGGCCAATGCTATCATAGAAATGTGCACAGTTTTCAGAGTTGGGACTATCTGGCTGTGCGGGGTGCCAATTTGTGTAAGATGGCTTCCCCCCTTGCACGGTATAAAACTTTTTATCCTTATGTCTGACCAAACCAATCCAGGGATGACCCAATTTTCTTTGTTTAACAATATTCGACACGGCATTATTTTCCTTACTGTTCGTAGGAACAACCAGGTCTCCTTCAAGTTTTTGACAGGCTGCTCTTGCTTTAGACCAAGTAGTTTTGTACGTACTTAAGTGGTAACATGCTGAAACAAGATGCATCCAACCAGATGGACAAACCTTTGATTTGGCATTTGCTTCTGTAAAATATTAAAAGAAAACTCTATAATTTTATTGCAACGCGCGAGAATATATGATTGTCATCAATCAGTGCAATTGACATAAATATTGTAATAACCAGCAATAAGCACAATATATTTTAGATACACATATTGATTTTATATGTATGTTAAAAATTAATATGCAGTTTTAAGTGTTTAATATGAAAATAATACATTTCATTTAGCCTAAACACGCCGGTACTGGAGAAAATTGAACATTTCCCTGAGAATTTATTGCGTGATATCGGGGGCTCAGTCAAGAATCTACACGCGAATGTTGGAAAAAATTATATACTTTAACTCATTTGTAGCAAAATATAGCCCTCACTTTTTTAGCTCAAAATGTGCATTATTTTCCTGTATAGGCTAATTTGTTGTTCTTGTTCCTGTAGCTTTTTCTTGACTTTGAAATCCTATCGATGCAGTGGTGGAAAATCGATTCTTTGAAATCCTATCGATTCTTCTGGTGGGGGGGGGGGGCAAAGCCTCCTAAATTTTTCCGACAAAACTTTCAAATTTCCGACAACGCCCCCCCCCCCTCCCCCATTTGTACTCGAAAAGGCTGTTTTTAGCCCTCTTTTAGGTCAAAATTTCCGAAAATTCGTCATTTTCAGTGAAAGTGGGGGGGGGGGGCGGTCGCCCCCCCCCCACTTTCACTTTCCCCCCACATCGATACAGTGGCGGAAATCTTGGGGGCGGGGGGGCGGTCGCCCCCCCCCCCGCCCCCAAGATTTCCGCCACTGTATCGATGCATAATAAAAACTCGTGCGGTCTATATCTTGAAATAACTTACAAGTTAAACCTCGCCAACGAGTTCCTCAGGGGCGGGGGTGGGGAGCTCGAGGTATCTGTATATTCCCGTATTGTGTTAAGAAGTTTGCTATTGTTCCATTGTGTCCAAAAATATTTCGCATGTTCCCTTGTTCTCAAAACATACATGTTCCTATATTCCACATGATTTGCAGCTTTGTATCAGGGTCCGATCCCATTTCATAATATGCCTCGTTTCCTGGTTGTACTTAAAATTCCTGGGAGGAACTCAACAATATTCAGTGCTCGAAAGTATGTCAGTACCATATATTGAACTACAAATAAACTGGAAAGCTAACACCTATGACGAAGGCCTATCACTCGTATGATTCAAGTTTCGAAAAGTGAAAAAATTCGGTCAAATTTAAAAGTTTGTTTTTGAGCAAAAATTTGCCAGAAAAACACTAGTCTTTTTCCATGGGAATACTACAATGATTGGGATACCAACCTGGTCAATTTCCGATTAGTTCCGAATGTTTCAAATCACTCAGCAGCAAAAAGTGAGGAGTTTTGCTTTTGTATTTTGAAAAAATGACGAAAGTTTGGACGTGCCGAAGGAAACCTCGCTCTTCAACTAAAAAAATTACTATAAAACATTTTGAGAGTCCCAAAACTTATGTTGTACTAAACCCATGGTATTGTTATCTCCTGAGCTTTTAGTCCTTCTCAGTTTGTTCCTTCTATGTATAACATGAATGAATTGACGTTTTACAAGTGGTAAAGGGCAGCACGCTAAGCGCATTTATGTTTCAATGTTACACTGTCTTGGAGTCTAAACGATCAGTTCATGATCCGGTCTTGTTCATCGTTGATCTAATTTATTTGAGCATGTAGCAAAATTTGGTCGTGGAAAATGGTTTGGGAGCCTCAATTTAGATAGCTATAAAGTTAATTACAAAATTAGTCAAACATCCCGCAGGAACTTATGTCTTTGAAAGAACTGCAACGTTTACTTTACCTTTAGCATTGATGGAGAGAGTGAGGAGAAGAGAAACAATGACTTTTAACATCTTCTACTTTGCTTGATGTAAACCTCGAGTTTTTCAAACACTGAAACGATATGTTTGCTTGACGAATGTCGAATGCTGAGTGATATGCTAAGCACAGTTAAGGTGATTATGTAACTCATGTGCAAGCTAAATGCTGAAACCAGTTGAATATTTAATGAAGTAAATGAAACGTTGCGGAAGTTGATGTAGAATTTGCAGGCCAAGGTCATTGATAATTTCGCTTGATGACAATTTTTCAAAATTTACAATTAATATTGCTTCTGACGCCTTTCTCTTCTAATTTTCAGGATTTGTTTCAAGATAATTGCTTTGGTGAACGCCGCCATATTTATTATATCGGCCTTCATCTGTCCATCTTAAAGCCTGCAACACCCACATGTTTGATTTCCCAACCAAAATTGGACGTCTAAACTGCACGAAACACTTCGATCGAATTTCCGTCGCATAATTGTCACATTAAATTCGACGAATTAAATTCGACTGAAATTCTACGTATAAAACTAGGCCTGAGTGTATCAACCTCATCGCACTGCACTGCACTGCGCATGGAAAATTATCCAAATTATCATAAAGTGTGTAAACACATTTTTAACTAATGGGTACTTTACTAAGTCCAAACCGAGCTATCATACATGCGAATGACATAATACAGGACATGCCGGAACAACTCATCTCATTGAGCGCAAACAAACGACAAAATTAAATTAAAGATAATATTTCCGAAGGAAAACTCACTTGCAATATAATGTGAAAATGCTCTAAACTATTATGGAAGTTAAATGAGCGTTTCCATGAAACCTGTTATTACAGGTGAGTTTGAAGTTTGGGCAATGGCATGTGGCTAAATTTTTGGCCGTTTCAAATGACGTCGGCGGGTCTTAGTATGAAAAGCAACAAAGAAGTATACATTGTCAACCAGTTTCAGAGGTTGTGGAACCCACAGATTCTGTATTTGTACTTTTGCATTCGTTATTTTTCAGATAACAGGCGTAACTGATGCCTAATTCTCCCCAAGGCAATTGTAGTGTGTAAATAACCTGTCGAATGCAAGGTACATTCTGACTCTACTCGTTTCATTGGAATACGAAATTCAATGCCCCGGTTGTATATTCTTTCCTTTTACATATTTAGTCTTACAGAATTCTTCTATATAATACCGTACAAATATTTAGTACTGCTCAGGTTCAGGGTCACAGTTATAGATATTATAGTACTTGTTTGCATGGCAGGAAGCAGAAAAGCGAGATATCAATTGAACGATACGAACTTAACAAGCATTTCAAACTCCTTACCTTGTAAATAGCAGTACGGTGTTACAATAGGTTACCAAAATCACCTCAAATCTAAAGAGCATACAAACTCTGAGGAGGACGCCAATGCAATGAAAACCTACGGCTGCATGTCAACACATTGAAATTCATCCTACCGAGAAGCGTTCAGTGTCTGCTACTATTTGGTCTATTTATTTTAGCTCTCATTTTGGATTTCAGAATTTTCAGCTCAGTATGTTTAATTTCAAACAATGTGACAATTAATGATTTTAATGCAGACTCTCTTCTTAAGTCAACACCGGATAAAGGAACTGAGAACTGCATGGCCGAAGTGCTGGAGTCAGAACTGTCATTCAAGTACATTTGGTACTGCATGAGTTATTATACAAAGCGATAAACGTCAAGAAGACATACATGCAACGTTCTTTATGACATTTGACCAGGATTGGTCAATGTAAAAAATATATCATGAAAATACTAGCACAAATGTATTTGCAGATGTTCATGATAATATTATACAGTAACAGTCAAGATAATTCACTATTATGTTTTTATTAATTTTACAATGACGGTAATAAGACTACGTTTTTACGTACACAATTAATTTGAAGTTTCCCCAACAGTTTTTAAGCGTATTTATTGTAGCTATGCACAATAACTCGGATTTGAAATATTACTTCACATACACGGTATAGTCTTTTGTGTATTGTCAATAATAAATGACAGGAGTACGGAACAGCTCATTTTAATGATATGCAAAGTGGAGTAAATAGCAGCGATAATATTTGCCAAGGGGAAACAACAATATAATTACATGTTAGAAAAAAATAATTCCAAAGTACAGTATGATTGTATAGCTGATTACACTTAATGCATAAACTAAATGGCAGTGTGGGAGAAGTGGCTTTGATTAATTTTCGGCGAAAATCAAAGACATTGGGAAAAGATTATCCCATTTTTGTATCACTACTTTATCCTTTATTGTGTGACAAGGCGCAATCAGCAATATTTAGCAAAAATGTTTAGCAAAAATGTACATTAAGCAAGTTCTTTTCATGCTGCATAGGTAATATTTTCACTTTCAGCGAGCAGTATATTGCATGGATAACATCAAAATATTCATAACCGTCAGTAAATGACAAACTAAAGAACAGGAAGAGCTCATGTCTCAGAGTAAAAATCTAAGTGCAAATTAAAGAAAATATTTGCCATGGGAAAGTCGCAGTTACAGAATTATATAATGCTGCAAAGTAGCGACGCGTTAGTTAAATCAACGTTGCCAGACGCCTGCATGTTATTACCTTTAAAAGCAAAGTATGCGGTTTCGATGATATTTCTGCACGGTTACTAAAAGCCAGCGCGCCAATCGCTCTTGTGCCCTGAAATGAACATAACAGAAGTGCTAGCCCAACTTGGTGGCCAGTCCCAGTCTTTTCACGCATGCGAGTAGCGCTGTCAATGCGTCAACATGAATATGTATTTTTGAAAACCGGTTTTAAATTTACAAATCATCTATGACGGCATTTATTTAGGCAAATGTTGGCCTAGCAGAATTTTATTTTTTTTCTTATTGGAAGAGGTTGCTCGGTCCTTTAAACCGCGGTCTTGCTAGAAAATCGTGAGGAATAAAGGGCAGGCCTACAATCGCGTGCAAAAATTGTTGAGACAAGCAGTTTATTGGCCCCCTCCCTCCTGTAACAATGGTTCTTGCCCCTCTCCCCCTTGTGCAATGTTGTTAAACGATTTTGAGGCAAGGGCTTATCAAATAATATGTTTTCAACATTGTTAATGGGGGGAGGGGGGGACGCACGTGAAAAAGATCACCAAAATGTGACGAGTCTCATTGTTTTTGCACGCGATTGTCTTAGCAGAGGCCTCTTTGTGGTCC